TACGGGATGACCGTACAGGGGCATGGCCCGCACCACCCCCATGTATAGGCGGCGTACCTTCTCATCTGGTCCCCCGAGATTGGACATAAGACGACCCAGGAGGGTCGCCACGCCCTGAATCCGGGGGGCCAGGCGGTCGAAGTTAACTTCGAAGCGCCATCGGCTGTCCAGAATGAGGCCCAGATATTTCATCCGGTCCCCGATCTGGACGCAAGCGTCTCCTACTCGGACCCAGGCACTAGGGGCTCGCCGCGACAGAGGCAGGCCATGGAACATGACCGCCTCTCTCTTTTGCGGCGAGATGTGCAACCCCAGTGCCTGGATCCGGGCGACAACGAGTGCCACCCCCACCTCTGCCAACCGGATGGTCCTCATCCATTCCCTCCCGACCGCGATGATCAGAGTGTCGTCTGCATAGCAGACGACACTCACACCGGGCGGGAGGGGCCCGCGCAGAACCGAGTCGTATCCCAGGTTCCATAACTGGGGTCCCAGTACGGACCCCTGGGACACGCCTCGGTTGACCCTCCGTCTCTGGATCGAGCCCCCTTGGCCGGGGTACTCGATCCGCCTATCGGCCAGGTAGTCCGACAGCACGACCCGGAGATACTGAGGCACTCCGTGTTCACAGAGTGCCTCCCGGATCGTGTTCCAACGGATGGTGTTAAACGCATTGGCGATATCCAAAGATATCGCCAGCGCAACACCACCGCCGGAAACTGCCCGGCCCGCGAGGGAACGGACGTGGTCGATCGCATCGAGCGTCGACCGGCCCTCGCGGAAACCGACTGGCAGTCTGCCAGACCACCTCCAGCCATGCTCCTCGAGAGGCGGGAAGCGAGCACTCGCTCAAAAAGCTTCCCCGCCTCGTCGAGGAGGCATATCGGCCTGTAGGCAGACGGAGAGTCTGCGGGCTTTCCCTGCTTCGGGATGAGGTCCATCCGGTCCCGCTTCCAGGGCAGCGGGACCCGCCCTGACTGCATACAGCTGTTCAACAGTCGGGGCCCGAGGACGCGTGAGGCCCAACTCAAAGCGTGCGTCTATCACTGCGTTAAGTTACTGTAAGTTAAACTTAAATCATAATTCGATATTCATTATTAATATTGTTATATTCATATTCATCATCACATCGTAATGATAATTATTATTATTAATTTTAGTCTATCTATTAATAGACTTAAATTGTGACCATCCATTGTGCATACCAAGTTATTATTAATTCATTTTGCTCGTTGATTCTCTACACAGACTTGGGGTACGGGCAGTGGGTCTGTACACTAAGACTGTTTGTCGATCCCGCTGGTTTCTATTGAGAAGACAGATATCGGACGTGTTTAGTCTTTGCCTGGTAAGTAGGATTTGGAGAAAGATTCGTGCGTGCAAGGGTACGGAGTAGATGGAACAGAGAATTTCGCTTGCACTACCAGGCTTGTGTACTCCTTTAGTTCGGGTCTGGTACGCAGGTGACCAGCCTAAAGCTCCATGACAGTAAAAGATGGATCCGGGTTAGCGAGGTGTCGCCCGTCTTTCCTATTTTCTTAAACCAGGTTCTGGCGACAACACTTTCATCGCGATACTTGTTCATACTGTAGTTTAACGCGTAGTTCATCGTAGACTTAATAACTGCTTGGTATATAGAATATTAGGTGCGTAAACGAAATGATCGATGGAACTTTTTCCATTCCTTCTATCTCTTTCGTTTGAGTATTAGCGACTACGATGCGTTTAGTTGAAGTTATTTTGTATTAATAAATAGCATTAATTCGTATTAATTAGAATATTAAGATAATATTACTTCTAAGCTGAAGAACGAAGACAACCGTCGAGGGAACTTAGTTTTCTATAGGTTTAGGCTCAAGAAAGAAGTCATCCGCCGAGGGAGTTTAGTACCGATAGTATTACATAGTTAAGATTTAAGTTATTTATAAGGTTTATTCTGAAAGGTGGGTAGATGTAGAACTTGTGATTCCATCTACCTGCCTTGGGCCTCCACTCGCAGCAACCTCCTCGTGGTGAGGCCTGGGCAATCGGTATTATTGTCATCGGTAAAGTACTGTAAACTGAAGACAAAAACCACGTTCTATATTACATCGAACTTGGATTATTTTAGAAATCGATATGAGATTCAAAGTGTAAAAATGTCTAGTACTTTGAATGGTTTAGAAAAGTATTCGAGATAAAGATGTATGGAACTACTGAAAATTACTTTAGATTCCTTTTCCTTATTCTGTAAATTCTTTGATTGGAAAATGAATGTTGCTGGAAGTATGAACATTTTCACAGGACAATGATATAAATGGAACTTTAAAACTTTTTTAAGTTGCGACGACTGTCGCAGCTGGACGGAGGAAGGAGGCCAGCTCAGTCGGCTGCCAGGGGTCGAACGAATGAGTTTAGTCAAGTCCCGGCTTACAAGCTGGTTTTATTGGGCTCGCAAGGGTTACAATGTTCGGGGTCCTTATTAGCTATGCTTATCTCTAGTGTGATCGACGGCGGTGTGTACTCGGCGGTACAGTTGCGGCGGTGTGAACGCGGCCTAGTCGGCGCGGCTGTTTAGTCGGTCCGCGTGGCGGCGGTCTAGTTGATCGGCGCAGCGGCGGTCTGGTCGGTCCGGCGGTCTAGTCGGCGGCGCGGCGGTCCGTACTCCGTGGCCCGGTCGGCGTTGTGGTGGGGTGGTGTCCTCAACCGTGGGGCGGCCAGTGGCCGTTTCGTAGGTCGGGTGGGGAAGACCCGGTGTGTCCCTGCCCCCTTAGGTGATGACCTATGGGGGAGAGGGGTCAGGATGGACCGATCAGTGGGGTTCACCTACACTGTCGAAGGACCTTTGGTTGAAGGTTTACCTTCATGCGCTTGGACAGCGTCCGAGCGAATGAGTACCTTGGTGGATCCAAAAAGCAGAGAGCTCGAGTGAGGTCGGTTTAGGCCGGTTCGCAGGGAGTCGAGATCTGCGCCGACTGTGCCTCGCGTCGCGGTATTAGTAGCCGCGAGGCACAGTCTTATTAGCGAGAACCGCGAGGCGCGCGTATCCATCTCGCGGCCGCGACGGTAGTTGCCTCGCGGTGCCACGCTGGCGTCACGCGGGGACGTCGTAATGACTTAGTCGTTACAAAGTGTTACAGTGATATTTCGTTATATGTTCCATAATGTCAATAATATTTATTTCCTTGCAACATCCATAATTAATATAAATGTCAATATAACGAAATATCTTTTATGCGATGTTTGTGGTGTAATAAAAATCTGTGCTTCGATTACGTTTTTGATACGTACTACTCACTTATATGTATTAATATAGAATAAAAATATACTATTAGTCCGATATTTGAAAATATGCATGCGTTCGTTGTCACTGTTAAACTGTTGTAATAACAATGGAATAATAAAATAATTTACTCAAATGTACATAATAATACATATACATATCCATAAAAACAATATTAAACGCAATAACTTTTTTGTACGCGAAGAAAAACTAATATAAGTCCGTCGGGATTAGAACCCAAGACTCCTTTCTAATACGTATACTTTACAGCCAACGGACGGAAGAGAATCCGTTCACGACCATGGTCCCTTCTTAGATTTAACGTAGTTCACAAATTCACCGTTCTCATAACGTAGAGGGCAGCAGAAAATCCCTGACTTTTTACACTATCGGTATTTCAGAACATGAGACACGAAGTCCCATAAGATGATAGGTCTATCCTATACCTAGTCGGTGATAATACTCAGAATTCATGCTTTATCGGTAACGTCGGGTATTGACACTAAAATGGTAACAGAGCTACGTAGCCCTGCGAACGTGGGACAGAAAAAAGCATTGGGTGATAGGACTATTCATAGTAGTAATTACATTTGTAGATAAATAAATAATAATGGTTTTATTACATGTTTAGTAACACAAGCTTTTATCCAAAGGTGTATGTGTTAATCTATTTCTTTTACTACATATGCGAAACTATACTTCCTGCTTTTGAATCTTTTTTTCTTTTAATTAAACTACTATTTGCAACTAAAGATGAAGCAATAAACGAATAATATATTAATGACGTATGTAATAATAAATAAATAATAACGTATTAATAGATTAAAGTAATAAATTCAATATTATGTAAATACTTAATAAATTAGTCAAAATCGTTTTATTTAGTTAATATAATTTATATATACTGTTTTCTTAAAATCACCACTGGTTGGTATTTTCCCTTTAACTATATCCCACGCTGTATTAAGTTTAAATACAATTTTGTTATTCAATAAGTAAAATGTATAAGCAGTAAACTTATTTTTTCATAAATTATGTCTCAATCATTAGGAAATGTTTTCAATGTTTTTACATTTTCTTTCTTACAGTCCCCCCACCCCACACAAAAATTAAATGAATAATAAAAACAACAAATGTATTTATAACTCGAAATTTTCGATTATTCTTTCATATCTTATGTCAATAATACTGCTAGAATAAAAGTAATCAAAAAGCCAGTAAGGTATGGAATATTCATTAATCTTGCAAAACCTATAAAAAATCTCAACACTTCCAAGACGCTCAAGATTTCCAAGACCATTCAAGACTTTCAAGAGTTTTAAACTTTGAAGATTCGAAGTGATTCGAAGTTTTCGTCCGCGTACAGATTTGAAGCAATTCGAAGCGTTCCAAATCCTATCACTACTTATAACCCATTAACGTTTCTCTTTTATTGATATTAAAAATGATCATCAGCAATGAGTTAGGTTTAGGTTGTGCTATATACACCGCCTACGCCAGAATGAAGTGCACTCGTAATCTAAGTGTAACTAAAATTTTTTGCAAATATCTCGGAAACTCAGGCCGAACGGTGGTAACATGTGCAAGGAAAGTTCTTCATAATGATGACCTTGACAACATATTTCAAGGTCATTGAAATTATTGAGGTGTGCCTCTTTGTAAATAATTACCAAAAAAATCCATAAAATTGATGTTACACAAATGAATTATTGTACTCTAACAAAAGACAATATTTTTTATATTTCGTATGCAGTAAGATGGCGTAATCTGCATTGTGCTGCACTGCCTAAACAAGTCATCTACGCTCGTGCCCAGAATATCCTGGCCTATGACCAGAACGGTAAAAGTTATTTACATTACGTTTGTATGTTACAATCACTCTATTTCATTAATGAGATTGTGTACTCTGCACATAAAGGTGAAACATACTTTAAGATTCGTATTTCATTAAATAATATGTTTTTATACGTTATGAAAATAGTTTGTATAATTTTCACAATCAGCTTCTGTAGAATTCAGGGACAAATCCCCAGTACTACAAGGAATTGTAGGTATATTTGAACCCTGAATGGTAAATCCATGATACCCTTCCTTTTCTGGTTCTGTGACAGAAGCTAAATGCAAACGAGTTGGTACTAATAATTCATTTGTAGACTTCTCTTGCTGGCCATCGAAATCACACTGTGCATCTAAACTTATGAGACTAGTTTCATCCTCTGCTTTGCTCACATCAAAACTGTCATCACCCATAAAAGATGGAAAATCAAAAGTAGGAGATGGTGTCACACAATCATCGATTAAAGAGGTTCTCGCATCATTTTGTTGGGAGGAACTATTGACTATGGTAGAACAAACCTAAAACAAATTGTTATATCACTAATATTGCAGAAGTAAATGAAATAAATTTGTTTATAAGAAATGATTTACTTGTGGAACAATTGGAGGTGGCAACTGATAACTTTCGATATCTTCACAGTCCAGATTGGTTGGCAGTCTTTGACTATGTGTGATCAGCAATGGAGTTCTTTCCAAAACTGTATTTACTTCTAACTCAATTTCATCTTGAAATCGTAACATTTTTTCTTTTAAGTCTGATGTCTCATTGAGTATTTCTGTATTTTTAGTTTTTATTTCATCAAGAAGTGTTATGTCTTCACACATTAGGTGCAAACTCTACAAGGAATCGAGAAGTGTTAAGGTCAATGTCCCTATTTCTAATCACATCCCGATTTCTGCTTAGAACGTATATTTTTTGTTTAATGTAAAAAGTTAAATAATAGAGTAGTTATACAAAAAATTAATTAAATTAGTTCAGTATTTCCGTACAAAATGCTACAGCCCGCTGATCAGTAGATGACAGCATTTTAATAGAAATAAATTTAATAAGTGTGACTGTCGTAAAGAGCCGTGCGAAGAAATGTTTTTAAAAATACTTTTATTGAAATGCAATTATAAAGAGAAGTTTAAATTTTATATCTAATAAGTTTTTTTGTCGATTGTTGCATAAATAAATAATAAAATCAATCTCTGCGATAGCGAAACTCTTACATGATTAGAAATGGGGACATTGACCTTATATGAAAGAGAATTAATTTAATACACTAGAATTGAAGTATTTAGTATGTACCTCACATATCATTAAGGCAGATTCCCAAGTGTTCGCGGGTACTCGTTCTCCAGACATGTAAGCATTAAAGTCCTTTTCATCCATATTCAATGATTCAGCTGTTAAATTTTCAATGAAAGACACAGCACAACACTGCAAATTATTATATTTCTTTCAGTTTAAATTTTTGATATGAATTTAAGTATAATAAAATAAAATGTAATGATTATTACAACTTTTACCAGATTTGTGAAGTAATATCCACCTTCCCCTGTCATTAATCTGCTTGCATTACAAAATCTAGTGATAAAATTAATGTTGCTCTTAAGACGAGCAGGATTAGCTTTTAAAACAATGAAGATCAATGCAGGAAGAAATTCATCTGCAGATGCAGGCCCACCAACAGATAACTGAAGCATTAAAAATATGTTCCGACAGCAATAAATAATGCAAGAAAGTTTCTCTTGTGGAGCCTTTGCAGAATCCATATTTAATAAATCTATATCAATTTGGATAGTTTAATTAAAGTAATGTTGAAAACTTTTACTAATAATCTAATATATATTTTATGTACAAACCTGTTATGGAAGTATAAACAAGTTCCCTAACTTCAGAACTGGTTTCATGTATTCTACACTCTAAATTTTTTCCACTAACCCAATTTAGTTGCCTAATTCTGTAAAAAAATGTTATCTTAATTTGAAATTTAGACTTGGCTACAATATAAAAAAAAATAATATCAAAATACCTGTTTTGTATTGCTAAATCTTTTTCTTCGTCACTAGTGAAAGGAGGACAAAAAAGAATTCTGTAAAGTAAAGTCATTGCATATCTTTCTACGTAATCCAATAATTTTTCTTTAACTTCTGGTGTCATATCTAAAATAATTTTTAAATAATCAATATGTTTATTATTTGAGTACATAACGAACTAGTAACAAATTTCTAACAGTACCTGCATATTTGACATTATTTTCTAAACGCTTAGCAAATATTTGATAAAAGTTCTGTGTAATCTCTGAAAGTTCTTCTATTCTTTTTACATCCTTATTTTGAAGTATCTCAATTATAAAAGAATGCATACATTTTCTAACATCTCTTTCCGCTGATGTTTTAGCAATTATTCCTATTAGTTCACGATTTTCTGCTTTCACTTTTTCCAGATCTGAGTTATCTTTTGTTATTTCATACAGTAACTCTTGATATCCTTGTGCTTCTCGTAGAAAATAATATCTTATAATAATTTCCAATTCATTTCCCTTTTAACTTTTTTTTAAACTTTCAAACTATGTAACTTAAATATAATATAAATTTGTTAAATAAAACGTAAAAAGAAATATGAATCTTACATTTGCTCATTAAATGAGTCACATGAGAAATCAATCAAAACTTAAACAGAACATAAATATAAAAAGCAATAAATTAAATATGTACCTTTTGTACTTGGTTTACGAAAAGATATGTTCAATAATTTGTATTTCTTCTCTTGTACTTTCTTCTCCTCATACTTTTGTTGAGCATTAATTGTGCTCCTATTTGAAGAATTACTACAACATTAATAATAATGCTGATTATAATAATAATTATAGTAATGGTCCTTGATAATATACTTCTTAAACTATTAAATTTATCAATTGGTAATTCGAAAATTATCCTTATTATAAAATCTCAAATATAAATAATATCATCACTTTAATTTATAATATGGTGCAAGCTCGTATTACTGTTGGAGTACCTACGAGTTCGATTAAAACTATACCAACTACACTTACACAATTTGTTACTACATGATACAGACATTATAAATAAGATTTGAAAAAATTTTTCAAACTATGAACTATGTCACATTATATTATTAAGTTATAATTTAATAAATAGACATACGCATCGTATCCTTGTCCATAAACATTACACTCTGTTTGAGATCTTTGTTTTTGTAAAAATTCTCGATGACATTTGCTACAATAACCTTCCCATTCATCATTTCCATAAAATCCACAACCATTCTTACACTTAAGATCTGCTTCATCAATTCTTAAGGAAGGTGTTTTTGTTGAATACATTGTGAAAAAAATTTTTTTATACGGCTTTATGGACGTTCCTGGAGCACACTTTTCATTTCAAACGTACAACATACTGGAATATACTTGCTATCTCTGATAGCAGTCATCATATTTTGATGCGGTAATTGTGAAAACGCATGCGTGAATTGGTACCAATCATGGACATAGGAATAAAGGGACGAAGCATAGACCCCTACTTTGCGGCAAGGGGAGTGTAGCCATTTCCGCGGTGCGGAAGCATGGTCACGTGGCACACTGGTGCCACGTTGGTGATTGGTTATAGTATACATGCGCGAAATTTCAAGACGAAACTTTTTAGTTTCTTTACAATTATAAATATACGATAGAACATTTTCAGTAAAACAGAGAAACAAAGTGTTTTATTTATAAATCAACATACTGAAATGTTAATGGTGGCATATTAATGCATGTCATCGAGATGTCAGAATTACATGGTTAAAAGTTAGAATTTATAGATACAACAAATATTTATTGTTTTTGTTCGGTATTTAATTTTGCAACTACGCAATGAATTCAGTAAGTTATGTAATATTATTATTTGATAAGATTTGTAAATAAATAAAACACTACTATTTAGAAATAGCAATAACTAGAAGAACATCTTTTATTTTTCTGCTCTTAAAAATGTGATTTAACGAATTTTGTAACAGCATGTAACTAGCGAACGTGGAAGTAAATATTGGACGGAGTTTTATAATGAAATATTACAAATTTTATTATAAAATGTCAATCTAAACCTAAATATTGGTAACACATTCTTTAATAAATTTTAGACCTGTTGTTGAGCCTGTATGTGCAGGGTGTTTGAAAATTCTGTGTCACGGCTACCATAGCGTTATTACACACCTTTGGATCAATGGAGATTTGCAAAAGAAAGCGACCGCAAAATTGACCGTGACCTTGAAATTCAAGGTCAAACTTTTCATTATTGCATCGTATTCTACTCGCCACGAAAATAAAAAGTCTGAAAGGAACCATGGATCGCAACTCAACCGTTCTTTTGGAAAATTATGTTAAAGTTGCATAAGTACTTGGACACGCTTTATTTGCAATTTACTTGCATATTTCAGTCATATGCAAGGTAAATAGCATTTATTGTCGCACGTAGACATCCCAGATACACCATTATATGTCCCATATCTTCCGTTCTGTCTTTCTTCCTATAAAACGTTCTCAGTTCGTCGTCCCACATACGTACAGATCAGCGCACTTCCGAGACGTCAGCTGTCTCGTATAGTACAGTCGGAATACCAACGCGCAATGATCACGTGACTGACTGCCAGCGGGTCATCCTCACCGCTCGGCGGATCTTCCAGGTCAGTATAGCGAGTATAGTTGTTTCAAAGATATAGCGTTAGCCATAACCTGACCGACCCTAAAGTTTATGTGTTTCGGTACTCTAATCCTGTCACTCGATACCCTTGAGTTGTAAAAACTGTGCATCGTTCAGGGGCGTACGACGACAATTTGGGACCGGTTTTTCAGTTTTAATATAATTACACAAGTTTTTATAGCGTATTAATTTCAGATTCAATTCTTTATCTGTTTACACTGTAATTCGATCGTTGGTCACCGGTCTTTCACGTTCAGCCCTCAGCCCCTCGGCGCTTAGCAGCGCGTTTATACGTGTTGGCCAAAGTTATTCGAAGATTTATTCGAAGCCTACGAATAAAACCTCGAATAACAATTTTAGTCGTTGTTATAATTGGGAAAAAGTTACTTTTTATTTAAATGGGAGGCAGTCATCAGAAATCTTTCAAAAAATGAAATGATTATAAAATGATAATTTATAACTGACTAATCACACGACAAAATTAAATGGTATCGAGTGAAGCAAACCATGGGGCTAAGTGTATGCATTTTAATACATCGATGTAACTAAAAAATGCAGTCGCACCCTATTTTTAAATGAAACCCTAAACTTTTAGCGGTCCTAGTCGATACAATTTTTCGGTCCGTACAAATAATTATTAGGATACTTATTAGTCTTAAAACTGTTAGTTTGGAACTTATGATTTTTGTTCCTCCGTCCTATTGATGCATAAGTTTCGGACAAACCTTCGAATAACTTTGGCCAACACGAATAAACGCGCTGTTTAACACCGAGAGGCCTAGGGCTAAACGTGAAAGACCAACGACCGACGATCGAAATACAATGTAAACAGATAAGGAATAGAACAATACGCATGCTTGAATATTTAATCTTTTATAATTTTCAGTATACATTCATTAAAGTGTCACGAATAAACTGAGGAGATTCTGCCGGTGGAAATGAGTCCAAACACGACATCATTCGGACTATTTCCAATAATATATCATTTTTATTCGCAACATTACGTATGAGTAAAAATTGTTCAGTTACACTCGAACTTAGACGCATTTTCATCGGGAGAATCTCTTCAATTAATTCGTGACACTTTCATACCGAAGAAATGAGATATTCGCAAATGAAAAAGCAAAAATTTGTTGTTTGCAAAATAGATAGTAAATGGTCTTTTTACACAAATATTGTAGTACCAAAAAATTTCTCCTGATCTGTTTTATAATAATCAATGGTCACATATCTTAATAACAACTTATTAATAAGGAGCAATTGAAATAATGTTCTTGCATACAGGTTAGGTATGATGTCATTGCAAGGCTATGTGAGAGCTATGGCGCTAAGGAGCCGAAGTTGGGGCCTCGGAGGAAGTACCGAAATTTCCTCTCCCGGTGTTCTTCATCGGGAGACCGCGCTGGCCAATCGAGGACAGAAATCTCCGGATGGTGGTCGAACCACTGCATGGTGTGAACCAAACGAAATGTCGGCATTTCTTCTTCGGAGTATACATCTCGGAGATTTGGGAGGAATATGTTCTCCAAAATGTCTACATACTCCTCCGAATTCATACGTGGTGACATTTCGATCAGTTCACCAGGACAATGCGCACTGATCCAACCCCACAATGCACACGTGATGCGCCCACTTCGCTCGAGAGGAATAACATACCTCAGATCAAGCCGTCGATTGGCTGGTCGCCACACGTACGGTCTTCTGTCGGTTGACGAGCAGAATACCTTCTCGTCCATCGAAATGGTGGTATCCCATTCTTCCGTGGATGTCGTTGATTGTTGCAGAGCAAAGCCAACGCGAGCATCGCTATGACTTTGGCTCAATGCAATTTTCCGAGCGGACTGATAACATCTCAAGCCGGCCTCACGGAGGCGGCGTCTACCGGTCCACTCGGAAATCGGCAGGGTTAATGCCGAAACAACGTCTCCCACGGCAGCAGAAGGATTTTCATCCATTTGTTGGATAAGAATGTTGTCCTGCAACACGGTGGTTCTCCTCGGTAACTTCAAGCCCTTACAGTGGTTCTCCAATGCCACTGTACCTCCTTGACTCCACTTCCTAATCCAAAGTCGCACTGTCTTCTCAGTGCAGGGAATAAATGTACTAATCTGTTGGACGGTCCAACCAGATTCGAAAAACGCGGATATACGGCCCCTATCAACCGGTGATAAATTAGGGGCCATCATGAAACTCTAAACACACGATGCACACGATATTAAACAACTGCGTTGTACTGAAGAGCAAGGAAGAATGATCTGTCCTAACAGAATGCTAACACGTGAGCTGTGGTAGACTTCATTTGTTTTTGGAGGTTGCGTATCACTTCGCCGAGACGCGAGTGATAAAAAAAGATGGTGCCAGGGAGCGTTGAAGTAGAAGAAGAACAGGCGCAACTTTTAATTTAAAGAATGACCGAATTGAATAACACCAACGTTCAAGTTTAAACGAGAAAGTTAAAAGTTCCCCACCGAGTCGTCGTAATAAAATCTACTTCTACCGCGATGTTACAACTCACGTTCTCCTCCGAAAATCTGTCGACCAATTCCGTAATTCAATCCATCCCTTGATTACTTCCGAAATAATCAACAACTAATGATAACAATTAAAACATGATACTGTATGAAGGGTTCAGATTCATCCGACCATCTCACGTATTCTACAATTCTCGCAGTTCCATTAACCTGAAATGCATTTTGGGGTACTGATGAATATACTAACCAGTTTAGGAAAAGAAATTAATTTTTAATGTGTAAATTATTTATTACATCAATGAATAATTCGGTATACGGTTTATGTGGTATCCCATTTACTGCAATTTGTATCCTGCCGACCGCAACCAGGGACCCCTTAAACATAGATAAGACGAGGATGTGCCGTAAAAGAGGAGAACCGCAAGTGCGAGAAGAACAAACTTATGCGACGGTTTTCGCGCAGTCGAGCAGGGTCGGTTTCCCTACGTTGCTGCTATAATGGGAGAGATTGTTTCGCCAATCGTTCAATGGACAACGATGGCACCACTGAACAATGACCGATACACGTTGGCACAGCCGACTCTAGTACTAGCCGTGCTAAAGGTAAAAATGGCAACAATGCGAGAGTCCGGCTTGAATATACCATAGACATATATAAACGGAGCATTAGCTGCCACTTTGGGCGAGGGGACCGTAGGATTGGAGGGGAAAAGACAGCGGTCGTTAGATATACGTCGGTTAGCTTCGGATGCATTCGGCTGGATTCGGCTCGTTATTAATGGCTGGTGGGCTGTGTGCCGTACTATTATTTCTATACAAACTACTATTATTCATATATCTATACAAACTACATGACATACGGAATTTTTAACGTATAATAAGTATATTCTTTTCATCTCTTATAGCATACATGTATGTAACGTGATTGTATACCCGAATAGCACCGTAATGGAACGAAGTTATCCGATTTATAACTAACCACCCCCTTACTACGAATCTTACTCCCCCGCTCAGTTCATGCTCCGTCTATATATGTCTATGGAATATACCCAACCCAACCTACCATATCAGCCTCCCAGACCTCTCGCTTTCACCGGCCTCCCGGCTACTCAGTCTCCCTCTACCGGCCTCTCAGTTTCCCGCCTATCCTTCAAATGTGTAGATTATTGTAATCCTCCGAAATGTTTATAATTTGTTATATTTTAAGAAATTGTTTATAATTTTCATGTTTATTAATAATGCCACGGCGTTGTTGTGTTCCCAATTGTAAGGGAAATTATGATAGTACGTTAAAAGATAGTAATTATATATCTATATTTTCCTTCCCCAAAGATGAGGAATTGCGGCAAAAATAGATGGCGGCTATTCCTTGTAAAAATTGGACACCAACAAAATATTCTGCCGTTTGCAGTCTGCATTTTGCAGAAAGTGCTATTCAAAGGTTCCAAGGTATTCTATCACCCAATGGTGGTACTGGAAAATGTTTTGTTGAGGTGTCCAAGACTTATAGCGAATGCAGTACCATCCATTTTCCCCAATTTCCCTTCTTATTTTGTAAAACATGTGCTACCACCAAGAAAAGATCTTGTAGACCGAGATCAAGAAATCATTGAAAGGAATGAAAATTTAGTCCAAGAATTTACAAATTCATATTTAATTAGTAATTTCTCGGATTTAATAAATAATCATGAAGAAAAGCTTGTATTTTCAGACTGTTGGACTACTAAAATAACAAATTCAAAAATTTATTTTTGTATGCTCGTATGTAATGATAATTCTGACTTTTTGATTCTAAATACACAAATTGTGATTAGGGAACACATGAAATTACAAATTTTTCAAGAAAACAATGAAGTTTCATTCAATGATTTAAAGTGGGTACTGCCTATTGATAAGAAATTATCTAGGTGGTCTCAGCTTCAAAATTTATTAAGTAGATATAAAGTATTACAGAGTCCACATTCTACCACTGATATATGTCTTATTGAAAAACATTTTGAGAAATCTCTAGAAGAACTTAATAAGGCATATATTATTGCAGAATCAATTGAATGTGCTTATACCAAAAATCTTGAAGTAGTAAGAGATCAAATAAGACAAATAAAAAATAAAAAAAAAAGATATAGCTCTTGCACCATTATTATGGCTTTTTCGTTATATTGCCAATCGTCAGCTGCATACAATTGCTTGTCCAATTGTGTTGTAGATGATTCCATTAAAATTTACATATCTGGTTATGGGTCCCATTCTGTTGCTAAAAAATTAAATTGCAATATATGTTGATTATTAATTGTGGATGGATAAAGATAAAACTGTAGGTGATGTATGTTTTGATCACTTACAAAGAGGGGGCCTTTCTGTTCCCACTGAAGAAGTGATAACCTCATTTATTCATATGTATGCAATAATGGAAGCCATAATAAATGACAGCAATTTGGAATCTCAATTTTTGCAATCTGAAAACCATAAACATATTTTATGTAAATTAACATATATTAGTATTCAATCAGATACACATTATTTAGCATTTTCAGATACATGCATTTGTGGTCAAAGTTACCACAGTATTTTGTTTAAATTATTGTCCATTTTTTCGAATATTTTATTAAATGATTATGTGAAAACTGTAAATAATAAACTGTTCTCTAACACGAGTTTATAATTAACTGCATAATTGTTCCTTTCAATAGCGAATTATCCTAACCTCTTTTCCACATGTCCCTTAGCCTGTTTGGCATCATACAAATAATTTTGTCTATTTCAGGTTTCTATTAACTTATACATACCTTTATCAATTTTTAAATGCTTCAATTTGGTTCAAAGATGGTTTTATCATGCTTCACACTTATATTTTCTTGAAACCACTGTAAATATTTCAAATATAATGCATCACAACACCAAACTATTCAGAGTGTCCACAAAATATATACCACATTTATAAATATTAATATACATCTATGTATATTACTTCTACTTACTATAGTTATGATATTTATGTATTCCTTATGCATAATTAATCAAAAATACTGTGTATTAGTATGGTTTTATGTAAAAAATAAGGTTAATTATAACACTCTTACGTTAATTAGAGCACAAAACTCTATTCTTGAAAATAGGACTCCCGAATCTGCCATGAGCGGTGTTGCCACGTTGTTCAGCACGGCTAGTACTAGAGTCGGCTGTGTTAGTACTAGAATCGGCTGTGACGCAGCCATTGTATTGATAACACATGACACATCTAAAAAATATTGCGCACTAGAATTAATATCTCACAAATGAGAAAAATTGTAGATCATGTATTGATTATTATTTAAGTGTTATATAAAAACTACTCACTTCTAAGAAATGTTTTATTGGTCTAATTGAAGATTATTTGAATTGATACAATATAAATAAATATAAAGAATCTACTGAATTTACGTATGATTGAGTTATGCTAAATTTTATGTGTCATTAAGACATTTAGGAAGTCCCAAATAGTAATATGTACATATATCTGTACGTGTTACTTATCTTCGTGGGAATATTTGACGTGATACCGTTATCATAAAGCGGAAAGTTATCTATTAGTTAGACAAGTCATCTAGGATTAAACCCATTATGAGCAATTAATCCCATGACTGCGATCTACGATATTAGTTGTCACGCCTTCATTCAGTCATCTTTTCCACACTTCAGTGATATCTTTAAATTTTGTGCCATATTATGTTGTCACAGAACGTATTAATATGTACGGGGAATATACTGTCCTTAAACGAGCCGAAAACAAAAGCAAGCCAGAATCCTACAGATGAGGTCAGTTTATATATGTTATTTAAAAATAAAATGAATTGTAATTCTTGAGGTTATGTCGTTTTTAGTACTGAAATGTCCTGTCACTATTTACGTTATTTATGAAATATTTTTACAGTTAACCGAAACATTAAAAATTGTTCTACGAGACAATGAAAGTAGTGGTGAGAAAAATCTGGTAACTGTACATATGAATGTTTCTTATTTCATTTTAAAATTCTACTATTTTAATGTATTGCGAAATTCTTACAAATTTTTTCATTTTTAGATTAAAGGAAAAAAAGATAATACTTTGCAAGATATCAACAGAGAGGAAGTTAAAATAACTGTGAAAGTTTTCATGTCTTCACCTGATGTGAATTTATTGAAAGAAACTATAGATCAAGGTACAAAAATCTTACCTTATTGCTTTTTATACTAAGTTATAGTCGATTTATTGTTTATTGTGGAATATAATCATATATAAAATTTATTCTTTAATATACTTTTGCGATTTTTAAAGTATAAATATTTATTTTTAGTTTGCAGTTTTTTAAATACAAATGCAATTGAATCTCTGGTAATTGCCTATTCAGGCAAAGAAAGTTCTGAAGATTTATTATCATCATTGAAACAATTATGGACTGGAATAGAGGAGTATGTTAAAATTGGTAAATTGTCAAGCGTTGGCTTAAGTGATATCAGTGCAAATGAATTTATTGACTTATTCCAATGGGCAAATGTAAGATACTGATAATTCATATTATTTCTGTGATTACATATGCAATATCAAATACATGTCGTATCTTTTATTTCTTGCATAGGTAAAACCTAACATTGTACAAATTAGTTTAGCTACATGTTGTGTTGTACCACCAGCTTTACAGACATTCACTAAAGAAAATGATGTGCAGTTGTTAACACACAATGATCCTGGCCGTAAGTTTCTTTTATTATGTTTATTAAAAGTAAAATATATGGATTATTGTGGCAATTATTTTTATGTCCTACTTGCAGAAATTCTTCCTAAGGAAGAATTAAACAGAATATTCGATACCAATGTTAGTTTACATTGGGTTGCAAGATATCAAATTCATGTTAAGTGTCGTGGCATTTTATCTTCAAAAGGATATTTAGTGTATATAAACAAAACAACAACATAATATATTCTTTAATGACCGTACTATAACATAATAGGTGATTATAATTGTTATGATACAAATATGTTCATATTTATAATTGTGAGAATATTGCACATAGAGTTTCTTATACATATAATTGATTATTAATTAAATCACTTATTCATAAGGTAATATGATTAATGTAAAACTGTTGATATGGTTAATAAATTTCTGCAATTGTAATGTTTCATGATAAAATTTATGTTTTATTAATGTAGTTAAATATTTTAAATTTGCTACAAGATTCTACACCAGTAATTCTTTGATGTCTACATTGTTAATTGAGTATTACCTGTTTGACAATATAAAATAATATATTGTACTAATGTACCATTATCTATGGAATCTCGGACGCACATATAAATTTTCACCAGTAGTCAACGAACGCAAAAGTAAACGTAAAGTTGCAAGAGCGGCGCGAAGTTGTTGAGTAGTGTTGGGCATGTGCGACAGACAAAATTTTAAGTGACTTACTAATTACGAAAATTTTAATATTTATGCACTTATAACTTATTTAGAACTGGAAAGCATAATAAATGAAAATTCTAAACAATACATGACAAAGCTTTTACTTTATTTTCGAGATAATAAAATTATTAAAAGAAATAAATTTTGTTTAATGTTCCTATTTATAATTTAAGCACTAAGGGTATGAATATATGCAATCATTCGTGACAATTATGTTTATTAGTATTTATCTTCCATAAAAAAGTTGTGTTTTATTGGATTAAATATTTCAACAAATTTTCAGATGTTTTTACTCAACATTAGAGAAGACAAGGAATAAATAATTTAATAATTCCAGTGTCCGGAACTTTGTATTTACAATGTTTTAGGAAATTAAAAACAGTTTAAAATACCAACTCTTAATATTAGAATCTTCTTAATCGTGAGATCTATAATTGTTTAATAAAATTAACCACTACGAAATTGATATCAATGAAATTTAATAATTGAGTATTTTAATTGGAGAGAACCGATAAAAATGATGGAAATAATCATAAAGAAACAAATGACATCGTAGGTGAAATTTAATATTGTACAATAGGTCGATTGAAGATACTGTATCAAACAGATGGTTACAGCCATCGCTAGCAGTAGCCGATCGGGAGACCACTAGGCAGCGGAGACACAAGGAATCCCTTCGTTTTATATGTGTGTCCCCAGCGTCGTCCTCGTTGTCGTCGTCGTCGTCGTCCTCATCCTCATCCTCGTCGTCGCCGGTGCCGCCGCCACGGTCGTCGTCGTCGTCGTCGTCGTCGTCGTCGCAGGCCGGCTCGATACCTATATGCGGGCCGATTTTTCGTTTTGCCACCGGCTGCCTTCTCGGATCTTTCCTTTTCCTGCGCGTTCTGTTACTCTGCTCCCGCTCTGGGGCCCTTTTGCGTTAAGCCGCACCGCGTGCACACACGAGAAGAGGAGAACGAAACGATGGGACGGGACTTCGGGGGACTACGGATAGCGTAAACGCTCCTCTCCGGCTCCCTCGATTCTCGTTCTACCCTCGTCTTTCGTTCTCCTCCTCCCCGTTGCTCCTTTTCCAACAGCATACACCTTCCTGCGTTCATCATTCCGCCATCTCTCTGACTCTTCCCCCGTTCATGTTTAGTGTTCTACTTGAACACATTCGACGGCCGTACCTTCCCTCTTTTTCCCCTTTTGTCCTTCTTCCCTTCTGTTCCCTGCCCCTTTGCCTCTCTCTATTCACCACTTTTGGGATCGGTCTCTTTTCAACTCTTCTCTGATCTTCCTCCTTCTGGTCACTGCAAAAGCGGGCGGGGTATGCGAATGCTGCGATACTATGTTATGCCTCCGGACCGCGGGTCTGACATACTTTGTATGTTAATGCCACATAATGTCGGTTTTGTTTCTCTTTTTAGCATTTATTTGTTCGGCTTCTCGGACCTTTTGCAGGGGCGCGCACGAACCATAGTTCGTACCGCGCCTTGATCGCTCTGCTATTTCGCGATCTGTGGCTATCCTAATTTCCTTTTTTTTTCTGCTTTCCTATCTGGGGAGATAGTGTATGTCCTTTGCGTTCTTATTGAAATTCATCCGGAAGTTATCACCTTACATTTCTCTTTAACATTCTGTTGACCTAAAGCATAGTTTCCCAACCTTTTTCGGCTCACCGCCCCTCTTCACAATTTTTTTTTGTTCAGGGACCCATTTGGGTAAACTATTTCTATTATCGAAATTTCCAAGTGTAATTGTGCATGTAATCTTTGAATCTTAAGAAGTTAAATTGAAAATAAAAAAATAAAATAACTAGAACGCACCCTCAGATGTCCTCAGCACCCACTTTGGGAATCTATGACTAAACGTTGAAGCAATGTATGGTTGTGCCTAAAATCCTTCGAACCTTGTCATACTACTAGTAACAACGAACGAAATGTAGCATTCTTGATCAGTGTTTGGTGTCTTCGATACTTAAATTGCTGCCGAGTTTACCCCAGATTGAGAACGCGTCAATGTCTACACTAGACGTCAAGATTATTCATTATCAATTTTACTGCAGACGGTAAACCGAACTGA